TTGAGACAAAACAGGAACTGATGTTTCGGTCTGGTGTTGAAACAGCCATAGGCAGGTCATTAATAGTGTGAAACTAGGTTTATTTATCGTCTGTCGTATTTAGTTTTCCTAGATGGACGTTGGTACCTGTTTGAATTCCGATAGAACTTATCTGACATTTACGAGAGGAAAAAGTATGACCGCTTCCCAGTAGGGTACCTAAAAGAATACTTAGTTTGCCGTTTTGTCTACTTTTGGAAGGTGAGATAGCTCCACAGGCAGTATCGACGTGACGTATCACGTACTTACAAAACCAAAGTGACCACACAAAGTTGAAAGGGCCGAAAAAGGCGAGATACCTGAGAATTCGAGAAAATGCACAAGGGAAAGGACCTAGACGTACATGCACAAGGACGTCAAAAGAGCAGTTGAATTGCATTTGGACTGGACCATAACCATCAGGTTATGAATCTATACAAAGCAGAGATTTCGATCTTTCACTCGATTTGATGATGAATTAATTATATCAATTAACAGATCGGCTTTTTGAATAAGCATATTTGTGCTGAAAATTTGTTGAATAATTTATTTCAGAAAAGAAGTGTATCTTTCAAATATAATGCAGTATCACAATTGTTTATGAATTTTATTGTTTATGAATTTTTTATTAAATTGTATGATTTGTACATGTACGGGGGGGTCGTGTCGTTCTGTTCTATATATCTGCTCAGATCTTTATTAATTCCACCTATAAGTTTCACACTTTACATTGATATTTACTCGTTCCGGACAAATTGCACGGTCGGCAATCAACCTCTAGATAACCAAAACCATTCAGCCCACCCCAACAAAACGGGGGGAGTTTGCAACAAAGATAAACGCGTGTGCATACAGCTATAGCGCAAATTGTAATATATAAATGTCCCAAACAAGCCAATTGTGACCAAAGTACTTATTGCTTTGTTTAATTATTTATTTACTTGCAAATGCAATTTTTATTTAATAATACAGACTCTCACACGTCAAATATATCGCTGGTTTATAACTTCTGCTGGCGTACCTTTTTACGAATTCTTTATTGGCCTACGCATTATAAATCTTTATACTTGGGTTTATTTATCTATTTGGAGGGGAAATACTTTTTTCATTATATATCCCCACGGAAATCAAACATGTATTGATGGATTGAAAATAAAGAGGTAAAAAGTGATGATTGAATGGAACGATTTGGATTGAAAAAAAATTAAAAACAAAGGAAACTACCATCCCAGAGAGAACTGCAAGTGTGTGGGACAAAAAGAGCATAGTTTACAAGTTATCTGACATGTCCATTATCATGGTACGTTTTGTGTTATATAAGAAACAGTTTTATGAGTTCCGGGTTGTTGTAGTGTATATCTCGATGCAGTGTCTGAGCTAACAAATGTTTTGTACAACCAAATTGTTTGATATTATATGTTAGTGTTGATTGGTGCATAGTGTTATCTACTAAATTACTTGTCAGTCCCCTTTCCGATCTTTGACTGACTTCACTCAAAAGTCGGTCTGACATTTTCCAGACGACCACAAATGTCTGGGAAAAGAAAGGTGCATCCTTTGTTCCAGATGTAACCAATTTCAGTGGCGTGGGATCTGTTTGACGAAATGATTTTGTTCCAACACCTAGCCGTAGTGCTATAATACTTGCGAAATATGATGTAGGGGATTCTGCGCTCAGTGGTGGAAATAAAAGTTCAAAGAAAATTTAATAACAGTTGTAACGCATTCCTCTGCAAAAAAAAATGCAAGTCTAAATGACGTAACAGAAAATCCTGGATGCTTTAGTTACATTTTTATCAAAAGAGATGAAAGTTAAAACTAAAGTGGTAAACATTAATTGCGTACACCAATAACCTGCTGTGACCAAACGTATCTTATGATGGGCGTTTGACGAAACATGGATTACAAAGGGCGTGGTATATTAAGCCATCCTCTTGATGCCAACACGTGATCATCAAATCGTACTTATAAGACAAATTAAATATAGATGTGGATAGTAATTGCAAGGTGTGAGATAAATCTGATGGCAACATGTGAAAACTTTACCTAATGAAACAAAAGACTTTGCTGTAAACTGCATATTGAAAAATTTGCAAGCAAAACGTGGAATGACTATTCTCTTTTTTTTTCGACAGAAGACATGCTTAGCTCTTAAGATGGTCTTATAAACAAATATCTAGTTCATTCTACTGATTATTAGGTGAGAAACCGTCTTGTAAGCAAATTATACCATTTGCTTTTTTACGTTGGTCTACATCGCTTGCCAAAATCAGATCCTTGTTCAATTTTAAGCCCTTACACACCCAAAAATGTGTACTATGCTTGTCAACCTTAAAAGTAAATCTAGACCATAGTACTTTTTCATTTCGATGAATATGATTTTATTTTAGAACATTCTGTCCATTACCTTGAGCATCATACAGATTCAATGAATTAAATATTTCTTACATAGATATAATTCCAGCACCTTGTGATGCGAGAGTAGGGGTATATACCATATATCTTACTTACTTCCCTTCAGACACAACATTTACCGGGGGCATTCAGTTCATCTGCTCATGCAGCTGTTTCAGTCTTGCTGTCAATTGAAGCACATGTTACGTGTGAAAATTGAGAGTTACCTTGCTTTATTAGTCCAGTAACAAAGTCCAAATACAGACGGCCTTTGCTTTCTGACATTCTCCTGAATATTCTGATAGAAAATAGATCAAGTCGATTTTTGACAATCATTCTGTTTAGTCCAACCCAACTCTTTTGCACACACAAAGTCTGCTTGATTGCACGAAGTAATTTTTAAATACTGCACCGAAATGTGTGGAAATAAGACAAGAGCCAACTTTAAATTGTTAACACTCTGGGGTGGTCTTCAGATATAAAAAAGCGTGACTTTCGTTTTGGGGAGTTCCGATAAAGAACTGGTTTAAGGTGTTATGACAAACTTATGTCTCTGTCAAATGAGATCCGAATGTTCATAAGGTATCTTAAATATCAATTTTTAAGGGGTGAGTATTTTATATTTGTTTTTGTTTGTTTGTTTTGTGGTTTGTAGTGGTGGGTTGTTGGGGTTGATTTGTTTGACGGATTGTACCTTCTTACAAGGTGTCTGCTTTATTGGGTTATCGTTATTTAGAGGTGCTTACCTTGGTGTTATTGCCCAGATCGAGTAAATATTAAAATAAAGTGTGAAACTTATGGGTGGAATAAATAAAGATCTCAGCAGATGAATAAACAGAATGACACGAGCCCCCATACATGAAAAAAAAAATAAAAAATTGAATCATAACAAAGGTGATAATACATGACATTAGGAAAATACACTTCCTTTTTAAATAAATCATTCACCGAATTTCAAAAACACAAATATGCTTATATAGATAGCCAATCAGTTTGAAATAATATAATTAATTTATCATTGAATCCAGTGAACAATTGAAGTCATTGCCTTGTATGACTTCTTAACCTGCTTATTTCCGATTCATTCTAGCTTCACTGTGGTTGTTCTTCTTGGTCCTTTTCACTTTTCTTTTTTCTTCTCCAAACTCTCTATTGTCTGGCCTCTTTCGGCCCTCGAACTTTGTGTGGGTAGGTGGATAAGTAAGTACATCGATACTTATATACCTGGATAAGTAGATAGGTAGTTACATCAGTGCGTGGATACGTCGGTACGTGGATAAGTCGGTGGAGCTATTTCCCCTTGTGTTTTCAAGCTTTGTTCGTTTAAACTGCCAGAATTGTGTCCGTCGGCTTTCCAGAAAACCGATTCCTTGAATAATTGTTTTTCCGAGAGAATTTCTTCTATATTCAAACTCGGAGTCTCCTATACTTTTTATCTTGCAGAAAAACGTAGACTGGCTAAATTTTTGCGATGGGGGATATTAAAACCAAGAAATTTCGTATGGGAACCACGCCTATTATTTAATGTAATCAATCCGGATAAAATATGTCTACCGCTTTATGCAACTCGTCTGACCAAATAACTGATTCTGGAAAATTTAAATTTAGACATTTCCATACCACGATCGTAGTTAACCTTTACCTTCCAGTCTGTCTGATTTTTAAATAAACGAAGGCTTAATTAAGAATCATTTACTTTTCACGACTCACATATTAAAAATCCTTGCAGTAAAGCGATTTAACACGCATCTATCCCCATAAATGTAATTAATCGTTCACCTGCACAAATTAATGTGCTCTTTATAGAATGACAGAAATTTGCACCCTTACATTGTTTTTCGGTGTGTGTGTGTGTGTGTGTGTGTGTGTGTGTGTGTGTGTGTGTGTGTTTTCTACTGGAACACTTTTGGAGAAAAGGGCTTACATGTTGAACATTGCTGACTCAGCAAATGACATTTGAGTGCCAATCGTAGTAAACCACCTTTTGCTCATTTAATTATGTGTTATTATAGTGACATTTCCAGTGTCAAAGAGTAATTTTAGTGTTAGTATGTCTGCGACAAGTGTTGTATATGCGCCGCTTGTTTTTGTAAGGCAGCACTATCTAGGTTATATTCTGAGTTATTGTTCCTATATAAGGTTAATAAGTAGTTGGAAAAGGACCAATGAAAATAAATAAAATATTAAGGTGCGATTTTATTGTTTAGTGAGTGCATATTTTGCGATTTTTATTTTGCGTTTTTAGTTTATCTGTGTTTTAGCATATTTTCATCTTAAGTGGTTTGTTGGCTGGTTTTGCTGCTATTTTGGCAAGTTCAAAATTATCCATCTCAATTGTGTAAAATATGTGATGTGATTATAATTTTTAACGTAGCTTTAACAAAGCTTTCAGTCATATCGCTACGATGTCTGCAATGTAGCAGTTAATAGTAATGTCTAGCACTGGGACATCATGCCGCAGACAAGTAGCATGATGTCCCACCCAGTTACATTATCCTGACACCAGGCCGGCCAATCATAACACTCACCTCTTAATGCTGAGCGCAAAGCGAGGCAGCTGTTTGTACCATTTTTGTAAGTCTTTGGTGTGACTCGACCGGGGATCGACACCACGACCTCCCACGTCCAAGGTGGACGCCCTAACAACTAGGCCACCGAAGCGAAGTGTAAGATATAAGTACGTTACTTACTTGTTTGCCGCTGGTGCATCTTTTTGCGACTTATTGTGGCCCCAGAGGTGGGAGGCGGTCCCTTTAAGAGGCACTTTGCCCCGGGCTGGGCCCTTCTGGAACTAGTTCACGTTACTAATCGGACGCTCTACACCGCTCCCAAAGCAGATCCGCAACCAGGTCTCCCACCGAGATCACGACTCCCACCCCACCGAAGCACCATTGATAAAGCCTACCCGACTTTATCTTAGCCAGGCAGGCATAAAGATCAAATTGTCACCAATTATTCCTACGGGTGTCCATATACCAATTTTTTTGTAAGCCACTTAAGCAATTGGCCAGATTTCTCTGAGTTGTGAATTTGGAATATTATTGAGTTGGAATCTGGCGTACTTATAAGGGCCGAAGTTACTACTAATCTGTTGAATGCATGCTACCCTTGATAAAATTTAGCTCCGCTTAAATGAGGATGATTGTTTACTTTTGACCGCCGAAAAGAGGTCTGGTATAAAATCAAAGTTTCACATTAACTGGCTGACAATTGAAATTGTGGGGAGGTGACTGTTGACCCCAACCCTTTTGCCCCAATGTGCGAATGCTCAAGGGACGCGCCATTTCTCCCTGTAATACACCTTCTGATCCCCAGGACAAGCCTCTTTTTCATATTCTGGTCATCTGTGGCTAAACTTCAAAATAACTGAAGTTTTGACTTAAGTACACAAGCAATAAAGCCCAGTGACCAGTGTCGTTTTAAGGCATAGGGCCCCGCGCAGCAGGGGACCACGCGGCGGCCAAAAAAAAAAAACAAATTTCGGTGTCGGTTGTATTAGCAGTTTAGTACTATATCAATAAATTTAGCAAAGTGACACGCATGGACATGGAAATGCAATGCAATATTCTATATCTGAGATTGAGGCGCAATTCTGGCTACCTTTAAGGTTAGAGTTTGTGCTTATCCCCCCACCTTCTTAAAACGGCTCTGAGTGTGACTAATTAACAGTTAACCGTTATCCTTGTATTTATCTTGTGAAAAGAACTGCCTATCGGATCGTGTTCGATAGTGTGTGCAAGCACCAACAATTTAATTGATAAATAATTCCCCTATTTGGTTGTAACAAACTACGTATGGACTTCATTTTGACACTTCAAATCTGCAGTCAAAAGTTACTGTACATGTGGCAACTGCTTTTCCCACGTTTTTTCCACCTTATTTACTTAGGTTTGAATCTTAAGGCCCGTAACACTTGCTTACTAAATGAAGATATTTATTTCAAATTAGGTGGGGGGCACATATCCAGTATGGTATTATTGTTTTATTCCTTCTTTTAACTACAACAATAATACCATGCAGGATATGTTTCCTTCTAAAAACTAATTCAAAATAAATATTTTCATTCAGTAAGCAAGTGGTACAGGCCTTAAGACTTAAGCCTAATGAGATAAGTTGAGAGATAAAACGTGGTAAAAGCAGTTGCCACAAGTACGGTAACTTGTGACTGCACTTTCGTTCGTTCCAATGATTATAGTCGCGTATTGTATCGGGTACCTTTGCGACCTGGTTGTGGCCCCTGTCTGGGCGACAGTCCCTTTAAGAGGGCGCTTGGCTCCGAGCTGGGCCTTACTCCTTACCGGGGTATGAGTATTGTGCCATCATAACCCCGGATCTACTCGAATGTACACTGGTAGACACCGCAATGCGTCCCAACCCCACCCCACTAAACCATCAAAGATCAAGTCCACCTGACTTTGTCTCAGCCAGGCAGGCATTAGTCAAATCGGACCTTGTGCCTATACCTATACCAAAGTTGTCTATGTTCTTTCTTATCTAAAAAGGATTGAGATTTTGTTGCGCCCAGATGTGATTGGAAACACAGATTGGTACATTTGCGTTGCTTTGTTTTGTTTATTTTTATTTATTATTTTTTTTTTGTTAAGTGGGTTGTGTTGTTTCGGATTGGTTGGAGGGGAGAGGTGTTTTGTTTGGTTGGTTGTTGTTGATGGGGTTGTGTTGTTTTGTTTCGGTTTGGTTGAATTTCTATTGGTACATCTGCGTTGCTTTATTTTGTTTATTTTTATTTATTATTTTTTTTTTGTCCAGTGGGTTGTGCTGTTTTGGATTGGTTGAATTTCTATTGGTGAATCAGATTGGAGTGGGGTTCTCTTTGTGCGTTCTCCTCTAGGATGGGATAATTTTGTGGAGTTGGGGTTGGAAATTGTGCCAGTAGTGTAGCTGGTTCAAGAAGTGATTGTGATGTTCCCTGTGTTTCATCTCGGTCAGTTGGAGCTGCCGGACAGTCTTTGATAGATTGGGGGATTTCTTCTGGTGTGTTTGAAGTTTCATAGATTTCAATCGTAACAAGGTGCCACTAAGACTGTCGCGTATCGTGCAGTCTGTATGCTCTACCATCCACTGTCTAATGATAAGGAACTGCTGAGATATGATTATTATTTAAGGATTAGAACTACATTGTTGTATAAAATACTGTTTTATCGTGCAGTCTTTATACTCTACCATCCACTGTCTAATGATAAGGAACTGCTGCGATAGGATTATCATTAACGGACTACTTTGTGGTATAAAATACTGTTTTTACGTATCACAGATTACGTATCAACAGACGATTCTGGACAGTTGAAACATTAAGCATGGAGACCTTAGTATCAGAGTTATTTGAAATAATCTGTAATCTGGTGGAAATTTTTTATATTAATTATCTTATGTGGGGTGACAAAATAGTCTTGCTGTTTTATTGATGCAAAGGGACCTCTTATGTCTATTTTATTAGCAGAAATAAAATATTAACTTGATAGAAAGCTTAAGAGCCACCCCATCTTCCGAAGAAAAGGAAATGATCGGTACCTAGGAAGCCCATGATCCATAGCAAAGACTCCATAATCCATATTATTGAGTCCATATTAAAGACGTCAAAGTCCATATTTAGGAGTCCATAGCAAAGACTCCAAAGTCTATATTAAGGAGTCCATAGTAAAGACTCCAAAGTCCATATTAAGGAGCCCATAGCAAAGACTCCAAAGTCCATATTAAGGAGTTCATAGTAAAGACTCCGAAGTCCATATTAAGGAGTCCATAATCAATCTGTAATTTTCGAAATTGTCATCTAGGCAACCTTTAAAAGTGTCTCAAACAGTTTGTTGCGGTCGATTCTGTAAACAAATCAAGTGTGCTTTCAAAAGACGTATTGTGGCAAGTCAGACTTAACGAATATATCTGCTAGTCGACTGTTCCGCGTCAACCAATATATAGTAGTAGTTTTCAAACTATGTAGAATCCATTTCAGTTTATAATGTTAGTCCCATTTCGATTTTTAAAAGGAGTTGATGACACTCATACTTGCCTTACCAAAAACTTAATTTCAGTTAAAATTCTATTAAATGAAGCGTTTGGATCTACGTGTATTGCTTGGCACTTATGAAATAGACTATCATAGGAAGGGCATCTGCACGGTTCATATAGAAATTAACGCCGAATGCTTTACTACCAATCTACGACGCGTGTCGACTTTCTATGCTTCGCGGAGGGCGGCGTGTAGGCCCAGTTCGTGTCTGCGGTTTTATGGCGTCAGTTTACGAAGGATTTGACCAAAACCAAAGATATTAATTATCAGGGCAATGTAATATTTCAAATATTCAGCCTTTTATCAGATCTCCACCTAAAGCTAAACTCAGCAAGATGGACCCACACGGTTGATATGATAAATGTTTAAAGATCAAACGTTAATACCTCCATTATCATTAATATCTCGGTTTTGAATATCGTCCGATTTGCAGGTTCTGAAGATAACTATAAACAGATTTCATTTGCACTAGATGACACACATCTGCATCGCAGACAATTTCGAATATTAGTGCCTAAATTCATACTAAGAAAGTTTGTTCATTTCTGTGTGCACACTCGGCTTCAAAGTATAATATGCTATAATTTTTAGTGACAGCATGTAACACAGGAGAGGGCAAATCAGTTCATTAAAAAATCAGAACGCATAATCTATTCATGCCTAGGTAAAAATTGGAAATTATTTTCTTTGTTGCTACTTATTTTATACCAAGACAGGTTTCTTTCCTCCACCAAAGAGCCAATAACTTAAACCAAAGAATTCAGGGTAGGTTGATGTTATAGTTCAACAATAGAATTTCATATACCAATAATTCGATCAAGTTGTCTCTTTTACTTTGCATTTATTTTCTAACATCTACACGGGTAAAAGACGGCGGTATTTATTATTAGATTGCAAATTTCACGGCGGTTAAGTGAATTCCGGCTGTAGGACAACGCCTTCGTTGCCGTGCTGACTTTAGTTTCTTCAGAAATGCTGATACAACACATCTTATACTGGCACATTTTTTTCCATAATCTGTTTGACTTCAGAACAAAACTATATATAAGCGCATGTTTCGTATGCTATTTGACCTAAGTACAAAATCTCAACATAAACGAGTTAACTTCTCTATGAAAAAGAAAAAAAAAAAGATACTGGCGTATTGTACATATGCTATTTGACATTAGTGTAAGAACTAGACACATCAGAGTGAAATTCTCACAGAAAACATAATTTATCGTCTATAATCACGAGGTCAACAATTTTGTTACTGATTGATCCCTTGTGATTAAAGCGTACAAATTAGACAGGATTTTCTTACAATGCCTCCTAAGAGATATACTTTTGAATTCATTGGATATTTTCGATGATATTAAATTTTCATGATTCAAAGACAACTTAAACTTTTGTCAATACTTAAATTTTGATTGGAGAAGGGGTTCTATTCTTTCAATTAAAGAATCATTGTTTCAAATTGTGATTTGCAACTACGAAATCGGCTATAATTGGTCACCACACACACACACACACACACACACACACACACACAGACACACACACATAAATTCAAGGTAATTATGGGGGAAAATCTATACTCCTCCACGCCCTGAATAAGGTAGATTTAAATTTTCATTCGCGGTAAGGACATTCCTCA